ACCCAAACCAACTCCTGGGTGTTAGTCCTAAGTCCGGTAAGCCTGTGATGAATGTTGGTGTTAATGTTAATGATCTTTCTCTTTTCAGTAACCACCTGTATACTGGAACTGTCTCTGCCAACGGTTCAAATCCGGAGGGACGTTTCAAATTGAAGATCTTGAGGGACACAGCGGCTCTTCAATCGATCATCTTGAAGTCGGCTGTGCCCAACATCGCCTACACTGGAGAAACTGTCTTCATCACTGACCTCACTGCTACCACTCCATACCCTCTCGCCAGAGTCCACCTGGATTGTCCCTACGTGAACGGAGAAGTCCAAGTCGCCGTCAGGGAAAAGCCTTTTCCCATGCCTGGAGTGCAACTTCTCCTAGGCAACGACTTGGCAGAAGACCTGCAACCGACCAACCTGATCGTCATGGACAAACCCCAGGTGTGTACCTCTGTGCCAATTAACCCTATACTAGCGTATGTTCCAGCAGAGGTTCAAGAGAATGATGAAGTTTCTCCTCCGGTTCTCGTGACCACCCGTGCACAAGCCGCACGTCCACAGCCAGCTGACTACTGCTACCGCTGTCCCTCAAGACCCTCAGAAACTACCCCCGAATCTGACCAAGTTGGAGTTCCGTAAGTTGCAGAGGGAAGATCTTACTTTAACACCATTGTTTTTCCAGGCTGAGACTCAACCCGACAGTATTCCTGGGTTCTTCCTAGAGAACGACTTGCTCTACCGCAGATATAGACCCAGTAAACTGAAGGAGGAGGACGATTGGGCCAACATCGAACAACTTGTGATTCCTACCAGCCTGCGGCCCACTATTCTACACCTGGCCCACGGAGCACTCTCCCACTACGGATTCAACAAGACTTACCATGGAATTCGTCAAGACTACTACTGGCCAGGTATGGTAAATAGCGTCAAACAGTACGTAAAACAGTGTCATACATGTCAGATGGCAGGCAAACCGAACATCTCCATTCCCAGAGCGCCACTGATTCCCATACAGGTGCCTGCGGAACCTTTCCACAGACTTATAATAGACTGTGTTGGTCCTTTACCTCGGACCAGTTCAGGTAACGCCTATATCTTAACCATCCTGTGTCCTACCACCAGATTTCCCATAGCAGTTCCAGTGAAGAACATCACGGCTGCTACGGTTGTAAAACATCTATTGAAGATCTTCACTCAATACGGATTTCCCAGGGAGATTCAGAGCGACTGTGGTACCAACTTCACCAGTGATCTCTTCAAAAGGACACTGGAGGAGTTCAACATCAAACAGGTATTGTCCAGCCCCTATCATCCTGCTTCACAGGGTTCTCTTGAACGTAGTCATCAGACTATCAAAGCACTCTTGAAAAAGTTTTGTAGTGAAACCTCTAAGGATTGGGATAAGCAAATCGACCTTATAATGTGTATTTACAGAAGTCTTCCCAATGAGTCCCTAGGAGTATCTCCTTATGAGATGCTCTACGGCCGTAAGTGCCGTACTCCCCTTAAGGCTTTCAAAGACTCTCTCCGAGATGCCACCTTCAGTGAGCATCAGAATGTGCCCCAGTTTCTTCAAAACCTTCAACACATTCTAGAGAGAGTCCACCGTTTTGCCCATGATAATCTATTGAAAGCCCAGGAGAGGATGAAGACTCATTACGACCAGACCAGCAAAGTAAGAAAATTTAAGCCGGGAGACTTCGTACTTGCATACTTTCCTATCCCAGGTTCTCCTTTACAAAACAGGTTTTCAGGACCCTACCGCGTCAAGGAGTGCAGAAGCAACAACAACTACGTAATCGAGACTCCAGATAGGCGGCGGAGGACCCAGCTGTGCCACGTCAACCTCCTGAAGCAATATAATGGTACTCCTCCCACTGTCCTAATCCATTACTCTACCTTCACAGAACCCTACATCCACAGTGAGACCATCCCAGCTTCTCCTCCCGAAAGCACCGACAAGGAGTCCACGCTTTCTCATTCAAAAATCCATATTGATAATCCCAACCATTTTCAGGACCCTAATAGTGCTCCTTTGCCATATTCTAATACCACTCTCACCTCGTCAGATAAGCCCTTCATCCTCCATGTCGACGCCAATGGTACCGACGTTGGTGGTGTCGTGATGCAGCAACGAGGCGAGGAGAATACACCTGTCAGCGACTACTGCTACAAGGAACTACGGAACAATTGGCAAGGAGCTACTCTTCATCATCCTGAAGCTCCAGCACTTCACTCCACACCTGAAAAGTGCTCGGTCCACCATCAACACGGACCACACCACCCTACACCTCCTGCAGCACGCCCACTTCTCATCTCAACGTCTTCTACTATGGGCTTGATAACTGCAGAAATTCCACCTGGAGACACACTATACCAAGATTCCGACAACATCTTAGCCGATGCCCTCTCCAGAGTTTATGAAGTAGAAGCGACTCCATCTATTACTCCACCACATAACGACGTACTTCTTCCAGAACCGCAGGCTTCGGGGGAGAGTTGTGACGATAATCTCCTTCAAGAGATTGAGCCTGCTCTTCCCTCCAAAATACGTCGATACATACATCCCTATACAACTAATATGGAAGAAATATCCAACAACGATACAACACCAAGGTTTGCCAGAGCGCAAACGTATGCAGCCAGGAACACCTGCTCCACCTCGAACCACCAAACTACCTGTCTTGTCGCCTGCTCATCGCTGATTGGCTGCGGGTCCAGTTGCAACTGCACTCCACCCACCACACTACTTGATGTCTGGGGCCACACGACCTCAGTCCTCAGAATATCCAGTGCTTTCATCAGGTTAACACGTCTCGTTGGTAGACTAAGCTGTGGCTTACGTGTACTAAGAGAGGTGATAGCTTAAAGCCAATATTCCTGCACCTCTTATTTGATTGTATATTATTCACTTGTTATTACTCACTTGTCTTAACGTAACTTTTCATTTTGTCATTTGATTATTCTTACTATTTTGATTGATTGATTTTATTATACCAATTTGTATGTCCATTTTATTCATGTTTTGCTTTTCTAACGTAATTAAAATTTCATTGTTAAATTTACTTGTGTTTTGTGTGTCTTCTCATTACCTTACCACAGACGAAGTTCCAGATTTTCTATTTTTTGTTTCTATATGTGACGAGGCCATACCCCTAGCTTTTGAACAGCCGAACACCAACGCGTTACCGTCACACGCCTCCCAGATCCTTCCCTCTTTTCCTTATCTGTGGTGAGGTAGCTCTGGGGAGCCGACGGGGCTCCCCCCAGAAAACCAGCATTGAATGTAATGAAACGCCATTTTCTGGGTGAGTCCCGGAGGCTCCCCAGCATACCTCCCACCCTCCCTCCCTCCCTCCCTCAGGTCGGCGGTGTTTCTTTGTGTATTGTGATATCCAGCCTAAGAACTGCCGGTTGGATTGCCGGCGCGGATGGTCTGGGGCTCCCCCTTCCCCCTCCTGCGGAGGAGGGGGGGGGGTTGCGCAGAGCTCCGGGAAGCCTCCGGGACTCGCCCAGAAAATGGCGTTTCATTACATTCAATGCTGGTTTTTTCCAGTGATGTGAAGCTCAGTTCCTGTAGTCTCTGCTAATAGCTCATACCCCTCAGCTAGGGTACCAGTCTGGTGGAATACCTTTGCACCTACTCCAGTATAGTCTTGTGCTTGACTAGATACGGGCTGTCTTGAGAGGTTATCTTGCAATGATTTCATGGCTTGGCATCCTTTGACCAGGCCTCCTTTTTTTACATATTCCCAGGAAGCAGCCTGTAGCACCTGTCTAACTCCCAGGTACCTATTTACTGCTAGGTGAACAGGAGCATCAGGGTAAAAGAAACTCTGCCCATTTGTTTCCGACTCTGACAGGGATTGAACCCGGAACCTCAGGACTGCAAATTCTGAGCACTGTCCACTCTGCCATCAGGTTCCACACTGGACCTGCAAATACCAGGATCAGTCTGACATATGTAGTATATAAGGTCCTAAATGATTCCTTACACAAGTTTCTAAAGGTTGTTCTGATGTTGGCCAACTTAGCATATGCCGATGATGATATCATCTTGATGTGGGGTCAGACTTTAGGGATAGGTCTGGTGTGATATCAACTCTCAGATCTTTTTCTCTCCCAGATTCTTGAAGGATTTCATCTCCCAAATGGTACATTGTATCCGGTCTCTTGCTCCCTATAACTATCTTCATTACTGTATTTCCTCGAGTTAAACTCTAATAGCCATTTGTCGGACCATTCCTTCAGTTTGTCCAGATCATCTTGTAGCCTCATGTTGTCTTTCTCTGTCTTAATCTTTCTCAGTATTTTAGCATCATTAGCAAACATTGAGAGAAATGAGTCTATACCTTCTGGAAGATATATACGTATTTCAAAAAGAGGATTGGTCAGAGTACAGAACCCGGTGGGACTCACCCCTCACAGTAACTCTCTGCTTCCTATTGCTTAGGTACTCCCAAATCCACTGCAGCTCCTTACAAGTTACTCCTGCCTGTTTCACCAACTTAGGCACCAGCCTCTTATAGGGTACTGTATTTAAGACTTTCTGCAAGTCCAAGAAAATACAGTCTACCCACCCTTCTCTTTCTTGCTCAATCTTTGTCACCTGGTCGTAGAATTCTATTAAACCGGTTCGGCATGATTTACCCTCCCTGAACCCATGTTGATGGTGTGCCACGAAGTTCCTTCTCTCCAGATGTGTTACTAAGTTTTTCCTTACGATCTTTGCCATCTCCTTGCATGGTATACAAGTTAGGGACACTGGCCTGTAGTTCAGTGCCTCTTGCCTGTCGGCTTTTTTGTATATTGGGACAACATTAGTTGTCGTCTATATTTCTGGTAAGCCTCCTGTTTCCAGTGGCTTATTATATACCATGTAGAGTGGCATCAGTAAACCCCTAATTTTACCTCTGTAATTTTTTGCTTTTAATTTTCAGTCTTTCAATAACAGAAGCAATTCAATGATTGTTAACTTTATTTGCATGTTTATATTTTTTGTGGCCTCAGGTCTACTGACAGTCCGTGAATGTGAAGACGTGTTGGCCAAGCGCTATGAGAGAAGGAAACGTAATGCTTATTCTCATATTTTCTCAAATACCATATGGGAAAAGCCTGAGACAGTAAGTACTATACCTCATTAATCAAATGTTATATTTATCAATTTTCCATATATATGTACCATGTGTCTTTTCATAACTAAATGTACAGTGATTATTTTATTATAAATTTTGGCATTTAAAATTACATATTGAGGCAAAGCTACTAACAAACACAATGTTTTCGACAAGTGTTAATGCTGATAAAGTAGGTTATGAGTGTGTTACACAGAGAACAGTTACACCTAAACTAACGATCATAACTAGTGACTTGAGATGTCCTGGTAGCACAGTCGAGTTCGTTCTTGACTCACAATCAAGAATTCTGGGTTCGCATCCCGGGGCGGGGCAGACATAGTTGTACACCTCTCCTACCACCTATTGCCCCTGTTTACCTAGCAGCCAATATCTTGTTATGGGGTTACATCCTGGGGGAGGGTCAGTAATTCAACCTCGGAGTAGGAGGGGAGGGGGTGGCCTTGATGTAAGCCTAACATGTATAAATACACTCTGGCTGCCTGTCCCCTGACACAATGATTTATGTGTTACAAGGTGAACAGTTACTCTAAAACTAATGATCACAACTAGTGACTTGAGATATTATAGTATAATTATTAATAATTGCACACAGAAATCACAATAGCATAATGCATCAAATGAACAAATCCACAAGGTCCGTGACAAGGATTCGAACCTATGTCCGAGAACATCCCAGACGCTGCCTTAATCGACTGAGCTATAACATGGTAAAAGAGTTGAAACCAGAAGTTCTACTGAACTTACTTGGATCCTGCAGCCTCTCTGAGACACAAACCAGGGTTTTACACAACTTCCCCATGCACTTGAGCTATCTCAATAGGCCTATCTGCCTCTTCGGTTTGTGTCTTGGAGAGGCTGCAGGATCCAAGTAAGTTCAGTAGAACTTCTGGTTTCAACTCTTTTTACCATGTTGTAGCTCAGTCAATTAAGGCAGTGTCTGGGATGCTCTCGGACGCAGATTCAAATCCTCGTCACGACCCTTGTGGATTTGTTCATTATTAATAATCATTATATACAGTACATAATTATTATACAGTAATTATTTATTATATACATGAATAATTTGCAGTTATTTAAAGTTGATACATACATTGCAGAATTTTGCAGTAATTTAAAAGTTAATGCAAGTGCAATCAATTTTATATTAAATACTGTAATCAAGACTAGTGATTATATTGTTAACACTATTGCTCTCTTTGGACACCGCTCACGTCCACTTTTCTGTGGGGAGCTCTACGGCTCCCTGGAGCTTATTGGGCTAATGTATGTTATATTAGACCGGGACATTAGCTAAGGAATTCAGACCTACCAGGGACCAGCCCCAGAACCTGGCCCCTTCAGAGAGGTTTCAGGGAGCAATGGCCCTGGAAAACCCTCTTGTGGTTGGGGGTTTTCCTTATCTGCCATCGACTGGGGTTAGGCACCCAGAAAGGTAGGCATAACAAAACAAACCCCACATGGTAAAAAACTAAAACAAAAGACCAAACAGAGAGGTAGAAACTCCCTACAATCACAAGGAAACAAGCAAACAAGCAAACATCACACTTTACTGCTGCGCAGATCGTCCGCACAGCCCTCCCCGCCCCAAAAGGGGGAGGGGGGAGCCCAGAACCTACAGCGCCGGCTGCCAAGTTTCAGTTCGGAAGCTAATGTCATCCGAGATAGACGCTTCTCTGGCCTCAGTTTCCTAGGCGGTGTTTGCCTTGTGTGGCATTCACTGCCGTGTGTTGTGTTGTGCGGTGGCCAGGAGTACCTCATCAGTGCCGGGGCTGCATAGCTTAGTGGCTGACTTCCCTAAGCGCCCTGTGAGTACTGCCCTTGTGTAACAGGGTTATCTTTCCTGGGGCGTTCGGGAACCATTCCCGTAGAGGTTCTTGCTGCTCGGCATTTGCGTCACCCTTGGGGCCAGCTGGGGCTTGGGGCCCTTGTTTGGCCCTGGGTAGGGACTGGTATTGTGCTGGTTAGGGCATCAAGGTGTTGCACGACCTGCCACCTAAGCTGCGACCGATTCCTGTTGCCTCTGGAGACGGTGTACTTTTGCGGGGTTTTTCTTTTGTTTTTATTTTCAATTGCCTGGTGGGGGTCTGCCCAGTGTGGCTATAGTTCCACTGGTAGTGTTTGGCGGCCCTCTGCTAGGCCCCCGTAATTGTACACGTCGCAGGGGTTTTCAGTGCTATCCTCTACCTTCTTGTTATTTTTGGGTTTCTTAACCAGTTAGCAACACCTTGCCCGGGCTTCCCGTAGCAATCAGCCTACAGGCCCTGGAAACCCCTGTCTGGGCTCGGTGGACCATTGAATGTGTCTTCCGGGTTCCAACCCGTCTTGTACGGGATCGTTGGTTGCTGTGCCCTTGTCTCCGGGTGACAGTCGCCACTTTTACCTCCGTCATGTTGCCTGTTGGGTCACTGACACCTTGACCCAGAGTCTTGCGAGAGATATTTTCTGCTTGTTCTCCAGTACTCTCCTGATGTTATTACTGTTCAGAGTACAAGCAGCATCCGTGTTGCAAGCTAGGTTAGGTTGCTGCAACATGCTAGGTTGCTTTCCCACTCGGATGCCCCGAGGCCGCCCCGTTTTGATTAGGTGCTGTTCGCGCCTTTCCCTCCCTGTTCCCTGCTCCGGACCGTCTGCGGGTTTCGGCGTCGGGGGCGGGGTTTAGTTGGGGCCGAGACTCGGGCGGTTTTCGGCGACTGCCCCGTTTGGGTTGGAGGACGGAGGTTTTCGAGCCTGTTCCTCCTGCCAAGGCTTCTGGGTCTTACCAGCGGCCCTTTCTTGCTGCCTTTCCCATGGACTCTTGCTTTTCTTTAAGGGCGGAGGGCTTGGAGGACGGCTCTGCCCCGGGGCCTCTGTGGCTGGTTCCCGGGGCTGTGGGGGATGCCTGCTAGCAGTTCTGGGGCGGTTTGCCCCTGCCTGGGTTTTCTGCTTCTGGGTGGAGTTTTTCGTCCATCCAGTCTGCTTGCTTCCCACTTTTGCTGGCGTGTTTTCGTATCTTTAGCGTCAGTCACAGCCCTCTGTTCTGGCGGCCATTTTCGTCTGCCGGCTTCCCAGCGTGGCCACCAGGTCGGCGTTGCGGTTTGTTTACATGCACCAGGGTGTGCGAGCAAGCTTCTTGGGTGAGTTTAAACCTTTTTTCAGGGGTTTTATTCTCCTGTTGTCGTTTCTTTGCTTTTCTGGTGTTTTCTGCCCGTTTCCTGTTCCTCTGGGAACGTTCGGGTGTTGATTTTACATCGGGTTTCCCATTTTGTCTGTTTTGGGTCTGGGCCCTTTGGTTTGGGCTCAGTGTCCCTGGCTGTTATGCCTGCTCCCACACCTTGTTCCTCAGCTTTCGGTCTGTTATGACCGTTTCCCTGGGGGTTCTGTCTGGGGCTGTGCTTTGCCTTTCTGTGGTGTTTCTCCGCCGGCAAATGTGGTGGTTTGGGCTCTCCCTGGTTCGATTCCGGGTTCCTTTGGGTTCTTTGGTTTCGTTCCGGAGGTTTCTTCCTCTTGGGCCCCTTTTGTGGGTTCAGGGGGTTTTGTTTCCTCGTGTGTGACCCGGTTCTACCTTCTGGAGTTTTGGAGTCTTCCTGGCTTGTAGACTGATCTTTTTGGGTCTTGGCACATGTTGTGGTCGTGCTGGGACTTTGAGGTTTTGTTGTCGAGGTGGGCCTTTTGATGCAGTTTTGTGCCTTCTTTGCCTGGCCGGCGTGGTGCTCTCTGCCCACTGGTCGGCGGCTTGTAATTTTCTTTTCAAGTGTATGGGTGTGTGTACACATGTACAGGTGTACACTGTGTGTAATTACCTAAGTGTAATTACCTAAGTGTAGTTACAGGATGAGAGCTACGCTCGTGGTGTCCCGTCTTCCCAGCACTCTTTGTCATATAACGCTTTGAAACTACTGACGGTCTTGGCCTCCACCACCTTCTCACTTAACTTGTTCCAACCGTCTACCACTCTATTTGCGAAGGTGAATTTTCTTATATTTCTTCGGCATCTGTGTTTAGCTAGTTTAAATCTATGACCTCTTGTTCTTGAAGTGCCAGGTCTCAGGAAATCTTCCCTGTCGATTTTATCAATTCCTGTTACTATTTTGTATGTAGTGATCATATCACCTCTTTTTCTTCTGTCTTCTAGTTTTGGCATGTTTAATGCTTCCAACCTCTCCTCGTAGCTCTTGCCCTTCAGTTCTGGGAGCCACTTTGTAGCATGTCTTTGCACCTTTTCCAGTTTGTGCACATGTGTGTGTGCATACACGTGTGTGTGTAACATACCTTGTGTGTATGTGTATATGTATTTGTATGTGTATATACATAATATGTATATACGTGTATGTGTACTTTTTCTTTCGAAAGGGGCTCTGTTCTCTTCTCTGTTGACGAGGCACTGGGGGAGCAGCTTGCTCTGTTGACTCTCGCATGGTCCCGCTGTTGGTGGGTGCTTTTGGTTGTCATCCGGCCTCTGGTGGCGGCGGTGGACGGCTTCTCCCCCTTTGGGGGGATTCAGAGCTGGCGGGGGTGGGCTTCTTCCCCTGCGCTTCGTCATGTCATCTTAGTGGGTGCGTTGGACATGGTCGATCCACCCCATTCCCTATGTGTTGGGGGAGCTGGTCGGCCGAGCGGACAGCACACGGGACTTGTGATCCTGTGATCCTGGGTTCGATCCCAGGCGCCGGCGAGAAACAATGGGCAGAGTTTCTTTCACCCTATGCCCCTGTTACCTAGCAGTAAAATAGGTACCTGGGTGTTAGTCAGCTGTCACGGGCTGCTTCCTGGGGGTGGAGGCCTGGTCGAGGACCGGGCCGCGGGGACACTAAAAGCCCCGAAATCATCTCAAGATAACCTCAAGATCCTTCTGGGGTTCCTGTCTGCTCTTTGCAGACATGGGCCTTTCGAATCTGCGGTTCTTCTGGACTTCTTCAGTCTGCATCCTGGATTCTATGCCCTCCTCGGAGGACTGTTGTCTCCTGTCCAGCTTCTGTTGGGGCCTGGTGCCTGAATGGTGGACCTGGACCTCCAGGTCAATTCTTGGCATGTTCCTCTACAGTTTTCCGGGACTGGCACAGTTGGTGGTGGGGCTTCAGGCTTGCCGCTTTTGTTGCCTCACCTATTTTGTAATTGCCACTTGGAGTATTTTTGCATTTTTACCGGATCTTGGTGCCCTGTTTGAGTCTGCTTGAGATTCGGTGTCTGGCCTACCTCGACGACTGGCTGGTGTGGGCTCCCAGTCGGTCCGCTTGTCTGCTCGCCAGGGGTGTGGTTCTTTCCAGATCGCCGGGTTTGGTTTCCGGGTGATCTGGAGGCATTTCCATCTGTTTCCGTCCCAGGTTCAGACCTGGGCCTTGTTTAGGGCTATTGGGCACTCCTTGTCTTTTCCTCCAGAAGTGTTACTGCGGCTGTGGTCCCGCCTTCGGCTGTTCATGAGGGGGTCCCGGGTTGCTCAGCGGTTGCTCAAGTAGTTGTGCAGAAGTCTGAACTTTGACGTGCTGGTCTGCTCGCGGGGTCGGGTTTGGCTTCGGCGTCTGTTTGTTTCCTTCGGAGACTCCCCTTCCGCCTCTTGCAATCGTTGGGTTCGTTCCTCTGGGGATCTTGTGTTGGTGCTGTGTCACCAGCTTCCTCTTTGGAGTTTTTGGGGTTCCGTGGTTTGGCACCTCCCCGAGCCTTCACTCGATGTGTTCATGGACGGGTCATCTCTTGGCTGGGGCTTTGTGACCAGTACTCACCAGGTCGGCCGGGGATGGTGGAGTCTGTCCGTCCGTTGGGCTCACAACACGGTTCGGGAGTTCGTGGCTGTCTGGTTTGCGCTTTGGTGGGTTTGGGTCACTCAGTGTTCTACCATTCAGCTCCATTCGGACTGTTCTCTGGCGGTTCTTGCCGGAACCACAGGGTTTCTCTTAGGTGTTGACCTTTGGGGTTGGTTCCTTAGAGTGGCTTGTTTGCTGGATTCTCGGGGTTTGGCTAACCGTGAGGTTCATGTCCGGGGTGGGTCCTGCGTCCTGGCGGACAGCTGTCTCGGTTCATTCCTCTGTTCGCGGATTGGCCAGTCGTCGCCAACTCGTTTTGTTGGCTCTACCGGACGTATGGACTCCTGGCCATGGACGTCTTCGAGTCGGCGTGGTCTAGGCATCGCCCATTTTATGTGGCGCCCTTACCCACCTGCGAGGCGTTCATAGTGGCTGCTTTTCGGCAGGACTGGTCGAGATGGGGGTACCTGTTCCTCTTCTCCCGGTCCAGCTGTTGCTTCGGGTTCTGGCTCGATTGCAGCCCATTCCCATGAGAGCAGTCCTTATGGTTCCTTGGTGGCCGGCCCAGCTTTATTTTCAGACGCTGCTTGATAGGTGTCCGAACCCGGAGCGTTTTCCCGTGGCTCGCCTCTTTCGGCAGGTCGGATCGGTCCTGTACGTGACTGGTTCGGCCTTCTCCTCGGCTCTTCGCGTGTGGTTTTTTGACGTGGGTATCACCATCTCTATGGTGTTCAGGTGGCTTTGTTGACGGTGTTCCACCTGCGAGCTTCGTCTTGGCGATAGTATGACGTTCCTGATGTTTCTATGCACTTTTTCTTGCTCTTTGAATGTTGTCTTCTCTTTCGGATCAGTTTATCTTGTCCTTTCTTGGGTTTTCAGGACTACAGTTATTTGATGTTTCTTACTGTCGCCTCGTTGTGTGCGTCACTGGTGGGGCCGCTCCTGCTTGCGTTCGGGGTGGACGTCAGATCTGCCCCATTTCGTACGCTTTCTCATGTTTTTGTTTCACCTCCAGCCTGCTCATGCGTCGCCTGAGCCGTCCTGGTCCTTGATTAGGGTGCCTTCCTATCTTCTCCTCAGTTTGTGGTAGCCCCTTCGGTTTAGGTTTCTGCTTATTGGTACTGGTGGTAGATTTGTACGTTTACAGCCTTTCTCCATCCTGGCGACGGTCGAGACGGCTGCTTTCCGGAGGGGTTCTTGGGTTATTGATGGTTGGTTGGTTTGGCCGGGGTTGCGTCTTGTGTTGTCTGGTTGCGCTTTTTGCCGTTACCTGCGTACCGTGTCTGGGGATGCGCTCTGGTTTGATCCGGTTCCCCTCGTTCCCTGTTTTCAGGGCTCGGGTCTCCTAGGTCGTCCGCAGAGTTTTTCAGTTGTCCAGCCTGTGGTTTGTCTTTGTGCCCGTGCTATTCGGACGTTTGCAACTTTTGCTGCTGTGTTGGTGACGTCTAGGGCTCATTTCGGGCGCAGGGATTTGAGGGTCACACAGGTTCTTGGCCGCCCTTTCTTTATGCGCGTCTGCTCCTGTGCGTTCTTGTTGCCTTGGGTCGCAGGTTGCAGCCTATTTTCTGGACTTCGCGTTGCAGAGTTTGTGGTGGTCACCTCCCGGGTTAGCCCTTTCTTTCCCTTCTCTTTGGGTATGAAGCTCTAGGGAGCCGTAGGGGCTCCCCACAGTAAACCAGCATTGAATGTAATGAAACACCATTTTCTGGGTGAGCCCCGGAGGCTCCTTGGCAACCCTCCCTCCCACTGGTCGGCAATTTTTTTCATTTGTTGAAGCTTAGCTTCCGAACTGGAGTGCTATGCAGCCGGCGTGGTGAGGTCCGGGGCCTGAGGGCTGCACAGACGAGCAGCGCGGCAGTAGTGTGTTATGTTTGCTTGTTTGCTTGTTTCCTTGGGATTGTAGGGAGTTCTACCTCTCTGTTCGGTTTTTGTTGTTAGTTTCTTACCATGTGGGATTTGTTTTGTTATGCCTACCTTCCTGGGTGCCTGACCCTGGTCGATGGCGGATAAGGAAAAACCCCAACCACAGTTTTCCAGGGCCATTGCTCCCTGCAACCTCTCTGAAGGTTCCAGGTCCTGGCACTGGCCCCTGGTAGGTCTGAACTCCATAGCTAATGTCCCGGTCTAATCTAACATACATTAACCTGATAAGCACCAGGGAGCCTCCAGGGCTCGCCCAAAAAATGGCGTTTCATTACATTCAACGCTGGGTTTTTTCTTTAGCGCCGGAAACGACGAGCTTGGCTGACATCTGGCGCAGGATCTCCTCCTACTTTAAGGCGTAAAGTACGGCCTCCGTCTCAGCCTCCATCACAACCACAGTCTCGCCCGGCTTCCCCTACACAATCTTCATGTTCGCCGCTGGCCACATGTCCTCCATCACAACCTGCTTCACCTCAGTCTGTGGAAGAGGAGTTTCCTACATCATCACAACCATCAGAAGAGATCTGCCCCATGTGCAAAATAAAGGGTAATTATAACAATTATTGTTATTATTGTATTAAGTACTAGTTAGTATAAAGAGGGACTACTGCTCTATGCAGTCAACTAAATCATTTTTCTGAAGTGACAACTTTCATTTTTGTGATAGTCCCAGGTAAAGCTGTGTTATCTTGAGGTTATCTTGAGATGATTTCGGGGCTTTAGTGTCCCCGCGGCCCGGTCCTCGACCAGGCCTCCACCCCCAGGAAGCAGCCCGTGACAGCTGACTAACACCCAGGTACCTATTTTACTGCTAGGTAACAGGGGCATAGGGTGAAAGAAACTCTGCCCAATGTTTCTCGCCGGCGCCTGGGATCGATCCCAGGACCACAGGATCACAAGCCCAGCGTGCTGTCCGCTCGGCCGACCGGCTCCCTTGTGGATCATGTGTGTGGCTAGTGGATCATTCTGAATAAGGTATATAGTTGCAGACTAATTCTGGAATATATGGCACCAGCCTGGAGTCTTTATCTCATTTACCCTTCAGTGTATGAAATGTGTGATTCAGTCAGATCGTGCTAATGTTGACTCCATTGTGCAAGTTAATGAGGGATGATGTAAAGTACTACTTAAGATTTAAAAATCCTGCATGTACATGGGGCTTACATTGGCCTCTCAGGCCTCCAGTAAACAGATGCCATCATGGAAACACATTCTGGGCACATCTCCCAGTCACGAGGGCTTCATTATTGAGAGGGGTGACCATGCTGCAGCTGCTCACAGCCCCACCATGCACCTTGAACCCACACTATCACTTAATTATGATGAAATAAATTAATAACTGCTCTTGTTTTGCAATGATAAAGGATCTTCGTAAAGGATCCTAACTGTGATAAAGACTACATACTAGATTCAAATATCATTGAACACAATGCTGGTTATGATTTTTTTTTTTTTTTTTTTTTGAGATATATACAAGAGTTGTTACATTCTTGTACAGCCATTAGTACGCGTAGCGTTTCGGGCAAGTCCTTAATCCTATGGTCCCTGGAATACGATCCCCTGCCGCGAAGAATCGTTTTTTCATCCAAGTACACATTTTACTGTTGCGTTAAACAGAGGCTACAGTTAAGGAATTGCGCCCAGTAAATCCTCCCCGGCCAGGATACGAACCCATGACATAGCGCTCGCGGAACGCCAGGCGAGTGTCTTACCACTACACCACGGAGACCATGATGTTCACAGTGTGAGGCAGACAACCACAGCTAACAGCACTGGTTTTGTGCATCTACAAATCCTGAAAAAGGACCTTGTGTTCCTTTGGAAAATAAACTTGTGGAAAATTATTCATATCCATGATTTAGTGACCAGGAGTCTGATAATAATAACAGTGAGGAAATCAGTAAAATCCATGATGAGGATTCAGACCTGCACACTGGGCATTCCCAAGCATACACCCAAGCATACACCATATTAGGTCAAGAGGCCTGACAGCTGAGTGGACAGCATTCAGGATTCATAGTCCTGATGTTCCGGCTTCGATCCCTGGTGGAGGTGGAAACAAATGGACATAATTTCTTTCATCTTGATGCGCCTGTTCACCTAGCAGTAAATAGGTACCTGGGAGTTAGGCAGCTGCTACAGGCTGCTTCCTGGGGGTGTGTAACAAAAAGGAGGCCTGGTCGAGGACCGGGCCGCGGGGCATGCTAAGCCCAGATATCACCTCAAGGTAACCTCAAGATAACCCTAAACCACTAGCCCATGACATGGTCAAAAGCAATGCAACCTGGGATTCAACTGAGTCCTCTATGGGTTGTGAGGCTTCAACTGAAGCCCAGTTAGATGCTTGAAGCTGACACAAATGATTTTCTGAATATTTTACTGGAATCTACTACACATAGATTACAGTTTAAGATTTAAATAAAATTAGTGCAGTGAGTTAAAAGCAACAACATTTCATCAGAGAGGATATTGCCAGTACTCTTATTTCACAGATTTGTAGGGCTTAGACACTAATAGTTTAACCACTGTAATGCGCCGAGTTTATTGTCACATTTCCCCGATGCACATAAAACCAAGTGTTCCCAAAAATTTTGTTGAGCTTTGTAAAATGATATATTCCCTTCCCTGAACACGTACATGTAAAAAAACTAAAAAATTCCACTTTGGCTCTGGGGACGTGGAGAACAGGGCGTCACGGGCTGGTCGTCTGTGTGTGAAGCTCCCAGAGGCTATCGCTCGGGCTATTCAAGCACACGAGTTGCCACAAATATATTTTCAATTATTTGTTCTATGTATTTTCAATGCTGTTTTATTTGTATTTTTTAATCGTATACAATAGAATGTTCATAATGTTCCATGGCACTGTGATACATGTGTCAGTAATGTGTTCATAATAAATGCTTATTGTCACAATATTACTTGTTAAAAATTCACTAAAATTACAATATGTACAGTTTCACACACTATTTACACAGTAGCACACTGTATTACACACTCAGTACTTCGAAAGTGAGTAATAATCAACGAAGTAGTCCATGGTACACAGTGCGACTTTGCTCTCATTCCACCAGGTACAGATAGATTTTCGCTTCCTGTTTCTATGTACTTGCAAGTAATGTACTCACATACACCCTTGGCTGTAGGTGGTATGTAGCCAAGCTTGTGAAGCGTAAGGTAGTCTTGAAAAGATTATAGGAAAAGATACATTTGTAAGGTAGTCTTGAAAAGATCGCTTTGTAAGGTCCCTCATTGGAAGAGATTCAGTCATTCTGGAAGAGATTCAGTCAATCAGGAAGAGCTTCAACCATTCTGGAAGAGATTCAGCTATTCGCAAAAATAGCTATGGAAAACACCACCATGGAAGCTGCTAACACTGTTCATCTATGCTACTTATATCAGATGCATCATCACTGAACCCAGAAAACTATTCATCTATGTATCATATATAAAAATTGGAGATGGCATAGGTGGGCAAGAGTGGCGCTCAAAGCTACAAGAAGATACGCTTGCTATATCGTCCTCATCGGTGCTGTATCACTTGCATCCAACCTTTGTGTTAGGTCCTTATTGTGCCTAGCTTCATCAATATCATGACCCTTATGTTCTTCAAACAATAAGGTCTGAATTTCACCGACAGAGAACGATCTTTCAACACCATGTCAGACGAGTGTTTGGGAGCCAGAGGCGCGTGCGTCACCCATGGTTGCTCACTCAGTACTAACCTACCCAGCAGCCCTAGGGTAGTCTGGGAATTTTTTCCAAGATGGCTGTCTCTCACTGGAGGTCTCAAGAGTCCATTTCGTACACAACCTACAGCGCACATGTTTTGTATGGGTACGAAATATTCAAAGGATGTTTTCTCGGTTGGCACAGTTTCCCACCGACCGAGTTTTCTCGGTTGGCGCAGCACAGTGGTTAAATCCAACATATGATAACTGCATTATAAGGGTTAATTTCACCATAAAGCTCTATAATTTTTGCCATGTTCTGTCTTTTCTGAATCTTTCAATGTCTTCGATAAACTGTTTAGTAGTTTCCCAAATAAGATTTCCCAAAAATTCCCAAACAAATTTACCTACCCGAAACGCTGCGCGTGCTAGTGGCTTTACAAGACTGTAATTACCATATTTGTATCCTCACATTCCTTATGTACATTCTTGTATATGCATAAATAAATAAATAAATAAAAATAATAAATAAAGAAGTGTGGAAACACTTGCTTCTCAACCTCATTTCTGGGGCTCCTTTGGCTCCCCGGAGGTATCCGAGCTGATATGAATGTATTAGATCCTGGCATCAGTCAAGCGAATGTAGTTCTTAGGCCTACCGAGGACCATGAGCCAGACCCTGGCCCCCTTCAGAGAGGCATGAGGAGCAATGGCCTATAGAAACCCCCATGTGGTTGGAGGCATTCTATGTCTGCCCTCGACTGGGTCAAGCACCCAGAAAGGTAAGCGCCCCAAAACAAACCTCTATTCTGGTGAAAATATTGTTACCGAAAGCCGAACTAGTGGACAGACCTCCCCAAATGAAAACGAGCAAACGAGCATGACGTCACCACATCGCTGCAATCTGTACAAACTCCCTCCCTTCCCGGGAGAGAAATTGGAAGCCCCAGACCCCCGCGCCGGCTATCCACCCTGCAGTTCTGTGGCTGATGTGAGGCTGGCAAAGTTGTGCAACTCTGGCTCCTAATTTCCAGTCTTGTGCCTTGTGGTATGGTGCTGTACTTGGTGGTGCGCGAGCTAGGAGTATATTCACAAGTACTCGTGCTGCATATGCCTAGGGTCACCTTCCCTAGGTGCCACCTTCCAAAGGACCTTTATAAGGTCTTTTGCTGCTTGGGGATTGGCCACCCTTAGAGTCAGCTGGGGGGTTTCATTCACCCCTGTTTGCCTCTGGGTTGGGGGTAGTATTTGTAACCGGTTGGGGCGCAGGGTACTGTGCAGCTAGTTGTCACCTCTCATAGTGGCCGGCTCTGTTCCGCTTGGATACGTTGTTCTCTTGTGAGTTTTTCTTTTAATTTTATTTTCTTGCCTGGTGTTGGGGGTGGGGGGTTTGCCCCTTGATTTTGTTCTCACCCAATTGTATCTTGGTGGTCCCCCGCTAGGCCGCCATAAATGTACACGTCCAGTGGGGCAGCTATGACTGCTGTTTTGTTGGCAATTTTGTGCGCCGGTTAGCAGTATCCTGCCTGGGCTTCCCTTAGGGTGAGTTCCATCTAAGGGCCCATGGGAAACTCCACAGGGATGTGTGGATCTGATGGCTGTGACCCCCTGGGTCCTCGTTCACCTTGTGCGAGTTTGAGGGTTGCTCGGTCGCCTTGTTTCTGGGAGACCCTCACCGTTTCTGCCTCCGTCATGCTGTCTGTTGGGTCGGTGACACCTTCGACCTAGAGTCCTGCGAATTTTGTTGCTTGATTGTGACTCAGTTCACCCAGTCCAATGATGACACTGTTCAGGTGCAGGCAGCACAGGCATTGCATGCTCATTTTAGGTTGCTGCAGTGCTCTAGATTCGTGGCTAATCCGGAAGCCCTGAGGCTGCCTCGTTTTGGTTATAGGGACCCGGACTTGGGGGTGTTAGTAGCCTCGACTTTGTCCGTACCCCCTCTAGTCC